GTGTATGGATTGGGATAACAGTTGTATGAGCCCCTAATAAAATGTTAAAAAAAATAATAATAATTTATAAATTATCAAGGGCTTGTGATGGAGGGGGGTGGGTAGGGAAGGGAAAAATGAGCTGATATCAAGGGCTCAAGTAGAAAGCAAAGGTTTTGAGAATGATGATGGCAACAAATGTACAAATGTGCTTGACACAATGGATGTACGTATGGATTGTGATAAGAGTTGTATGAGCCCCAAATAAAATGATTTAAAAGAGGGGAGGGGAGCATGGAAAGGAGTGTTGCCAGATGTTTGCGAGGTAACGGTGCTGTGATTTCTCAATGGATTCGTACAGGGAAGTACAGAGGAAGAATGAGGGCCTGAAGATGTCTTCCAGATTTGGGAATTGAATGATGAGATAGATAAAAGAGGGTGTTCTTAATCGTGGAACACAGCAAAGAAGGAGAATTGAGGTATGAACATAGGGGGAATTTCTGATGATTTAAACATGTTGGATCCACTGTGCCCCAGAGACATTCTGTAGAGCTGTCTAGTATAGCATCTTTACCGCCCCTGAAGGCACCCCTCAGCTTTCCTTCTTTCTTTGACTGAAGTTTGTGCCAGTTGGAATGGAAAATAAGGGATCAATAGTTTCTAGAGGATTAAAGCATTCAACTCTTTACCAGAATCTAGCACCAAATGCTAATAGTTTTAAAAATAAACCTCTCTTTGGAGAGTGAATTATTCACCATGGTCATATTGCCCCTTCTACCTCTATGCATCCTTCAAAATTGCCCAGGTTAGGAATTCCCCACCTGGATAACCGCTTTGATAATTTCCCAAGTCAAACAGGATGTGGAATGAAATTAGCTTGGACAACAGGGAAGCAGTTAACTATATCAGATTTGACAGGAAACTCTTTTTCCTCCCACTACACCCAAACTCTAAGCTGTGTGAGGGCAGGGACTAGATTCTACCTGGCACACATTTATAGCTCCCTTGCCTCCTCCAGCACCCATACACACACGCTCACTGGCCTAGGGGTTGATGTTCTGCCACCAGAACTCCAATAATCAGGGGTCTTCGAGCCTAATTGGGCTGTTGGGGAAGAAACAGAGAAAGGCCCAGAAAGCTCTGCCAATAGACCCCGGGCAGTGAAGGAAAGTGCACCCTATAAAGCTTACTCATAATTGTTCTATGGATTGGAAAATTACTTTCAACATATGACATTCCCTTTTGCATGGTTGGGTTGCTACACCTTTTGCAAAGCAAACCTGGATATTAACATTAAAAGGTACTCACCTTAAAGTTCTGAAAAGTCTCATGTCCGTATTAGAAATATAAAATGAACCCCTTAAAAAGTATTTTCTAGGAATCTACAATAAAGATGAGGTTTTTTTAATCCAGGCTTTAAAATATTTTTTTGTTTTGTTTTCTTGGTTTCCATTTGAAAAACACAAACTTGAATTTTGATCATCATCATCAGGCACATTTGCAACTCATAGAAACTTCTGGATCTTGAGGGTTGCCAGAAATTCAGAGTAAAAAAGACTGTGCTTATCACAAGCATCACTATCTGTATCTAGAAAAAAATGCTTCAAATAACTAGTTAGAACCCATTGAGCATTAGCATTAAGCTCTAGACCTAACGTTTCTATTGCTGCTGTTTACAACTCCTCAGGGAGAAACAATGCAATTTTCCCAATTCAGTGTGGAACATTTGAAAAGTTCAAGCAAACAACCTCAAGCCACAGGTGACTGTGTTAGTCTGCGTACACTAGAGAAACAAATCCACAGAAACTCATGTGTATAAGAGAGAGTTTTATATAAAGAGTAAGTACACATCAAGAAAACATCCCAACCCAGTGCTGTCCAAGCCCACAAGTCCAACATTAGCCCATACGTCCGACACCAATCTACAAAGTCCTCCTCCATCTCACAAAACACACACAATGATGCCGACTGCAGGAGGAAAGCCGAGTCGATGAACGTATAAGCATCTCAGCGCTGGCAGGGGTCTCCACACAGCTGCTCCAGCACCCAGGGCTGCATCGGG